TCGTTGAAGGGCCGGGTGACGATCTCCAGGGACAACGGGCAGAGCTCGGTGACGCTGACCATGAACAGCCTCAAGGACGAGGATTCCGGATCCTATTTCTGTGCCAAAGCTGCTGGTGGTTACTATGGTAATGCTGCTGCTGAGAGTTTTGAGCCCATCCCTGTCCCCGTGTCCCCGACCTTTCCCCCAACCCCAATCCCTGACCCCATTCCTGTCCCCTCTCCCAGCTCTGAATTCCTTCTGCCCCAAATCTCCGCCATTTTTCCCCAGAATCTCAGCTCTCATCCCCACACTTGGTGCCAGTTTTTGTGCCAAACCCTCAGGATTCGGTGCCCACAGCGGGGTTTGGTGCCCGGGGTGCAGATTTGGGGCTGCCCCAGAGGGATTTTCAGGCCGATGGTCACAAGGGAAGGGAGCGGAACTCTGGGGTGAAAAGCTGAGATTTGGGGGACGGTTCTGGGTAAACGGCCCGAGGGTGAGGGGAAGGACGAGATTTGGGAGAAATGGGCAAAACTGGGGGGAAAAATCGAGATTTGGGGCAGCAGGGCTGGAGTTTGGGGGGAAAATGGCCAAGGTATGAGGAGAAGGGCTGGGACTTGGGCTAGGATCAGAGAATTCTGGGACATTTGGGAACACAAAGGAGAGGCCTTGGGACCACGGCCAGTACCAACAGCATAAGCATCAGCAGCATTACCACAACCACTGGTGTAACATCTGGCACAGAAATAGGATCCGGAATCGTCGTCCTTGAGGCTGTTCATGGTCAGCGTCACCGAGCTCTGCCCGTTGTCCCTGGAGATCGTCACCCGGCCCTTCAACGATGGCGCGTAGTTGGTGCTGGCACCATTGTAGTAGATCCACGCGACCCACTCCAGGCCCTGCCCGGGTCTCTGACGGATCCAGTACATGTCAAAATTCCCGAAACTGAAGCCGGACCCTCGGCAGAGGAGGCGCAGGGACCCCCCGGGGGGCTGGAGGTCCCCCCCGGACTCCAGCAGGGTCACGGCCGCCCGGAGCCCTGCAGGAAAAAAGGGGAGATGGGGATGGGAACAGCTCAAACATTGACCCAAATCCTGACTCTTGACCCAAATTTTGACTCTTAGACCTCCTCATCCTCCTCATCCTTCTCCTGCTGGCCTTGCCAGGTGGGTCCAGTCCCTTTTTCCATCTGGCCACACCCACTTCTGGGCCACAGCCAATCCATGCCCCCATCCCCATCTCCCCTTTTTCCCGCAGGGCTCCGGGCGGCCGTGACCCTGCTGGAGTCCGGGGGGGACCTCCAGCCCCCCGGGGGGTCCCTGCGCCTCCTCTGCCGAGGGTCCGGGTTCAGTTTCGGCAGTTTTGGGATGGCCTGGTATCGCCAGAGACCCGGGCAGGGGCTGGAATTTCTGGCAAGGATCCACAGGGATGGTGGTTTCATCGAGTACGCGCCATCGTTGAGGGGCCGGGTGACGATCTCCAGGGACAACGGGCAGAGCTCGGTGACGCTGACCATGAACAGCCTCAAGGACGAGGACTCCGGTTCCTATTTCAGTGCCAAATCCACGGGGGCTTACACGGCTGATCCTGGTCGTAGTGAAAGTGACAGTTCTGGCCCCACCCCCTCTCGGAGTGCCCCCTGCCCCCCCAACTTTCGGCCAATTTTGGCCATTTCACCCAAATCTCCCCTGGCTCCCAGGCCCTGATTGGTTGGAGGCCAACTGGAAGCCATGGTGAAGGTTTGGGGCCAATGGTTGAGTTTTGGGGCCGGGGTGAAGGTTTGGGGCCAATGGTTGAGTTTTGGGACCGAAGCCGGCGAGGTTTTGGGGTCAGTGCTGAGCATTGGTGCAAATGGGGGAGAATTGGGACAAAGGGCCGAGAGCTGAGGGTTGGGGGAAGGGTCTGGGTTTGGGGACGGGGGGGACACCGAGATGGGCCCAGGGATCCACCACTGGCATCTTCAACATCACCAACAGCACCCCAATTACCAGCATAGGTACTTTTGGCACAGAAATAGGATCCGGAGTCCTCGTCCTTGAGGCTGTTCATGGTCAGCGTCACCGAGCTCTGCCCGTTGTCCCTGGAGATCGTCACCCGGCCCTTCAACGATGGCGCGTAGTCGGTGTAACCATTGTTGGTGATCCCTGCGAGCCACTCCAGCCCCTGCCCGGGTCTCTGGCGGACCCAGCCCATCCCAAAACTGCTGAAACTGAACCCGGACCCTCGGCAGAGGAGGCGCAGGGACCCCCCGGGGGGCTGGAGGTCCCCCCGGACTCCAGCAGGGTCACGGCCGCCCGGAGCCCTGCGGGAACAAGGGGAGATGGGGATGGGAACAGCTCAAACACTGACCCCAAATCCTGACTTTTGGTCTCAAATTCCGACCCTTAGACCTCCTCATCCTCCTCCTCCTGCTCCTGCTGTCCTCGTCAGGTGGGTCCAGTCCCTTTTTCAAGCTGGCCACACCCACTTCGAGCCCACCAGCCAATGCAGAGTCTCATCGTTTGTTCCTCAGAACTGTGTCCTAAAGGTGGAGATTTCAGGCTGAAGATCAAGATTTGGGTCACTTTGAGCCCAAGAGCAGAGAATTTGGGGCAGGACCAGTCCTGTGTTAGGACATGGGGACAAGGATGGAGTCAAGTTTGAGGTTTGGGGGGAGGCTCTGAGAAAAATGGGGACAGGTGGGGACACAGCAAAGGGGGCGGGGCCAACACGATAACCAGTAAGGGCTGCGTTAGCACCAGCAGCTTTGGCACAGAAATAGGATCCGGAATCCTCGTCCTTGAGGCTGTTCACGGTCAGCGTCACCGAGCTCTGCCCGTTGTCGCTCGCCATCGTGAACCGGCCCTTGACCGAATCCGCGTAGTCGGTGCTGCCGCTGCTTCTGCTGATGCTCGCAACCCACTCCAGGGCCTGCCCGGGTC